CCACCCCTTCGCCACGGCTTTAACCCATTGAGTTCTGCTCCAAACGATTGAGTTCTGGCGGATCTATCATTATTCCCTGGCGCGCTCCCCCTTGCGTCGGCCGGGGTCGGCGGATATAGAAGTGCTTGGGTGCGCTTTGGAGCTTGCGCTGGTGCCGCTGAAGGGTACCGCTGCTGCCTACAAATATTTTTTGCTGATTTGGGGTCTATGCCAGCACAATTTGTATCCTGGTCCTGAGCTAGATAATTCAGGATGGTTCTAGTCAAATTCTTGGAGGAACTTTGACTGGCAACGGCCAGGGATGTTTTTGGGCTGCAGACAAATTATGGCCTTTGCGCCCCGAGGCCAATGGCAGAGCTCACCTGTGACCCAGTCCCAGGGGTTCCGAAGACAAGCCGGCGTTTGCTGGCTGGCTACCTGATCCACAGGCAGGGATCAGCAGATAGACAGGCATTGTAAACCAATCTGTTGCTTGAAGAATTTGACTGTTTTGCAACATTTCAGCTTCGAGCGTACTGTCGTGATTTGTAGTTCCACCCATCGCACGCAGGGATGACCCAGATGCACTTTCCGTGGTCTACTGCGAGTTGCAAGCTCCTGTTGGGCCACGTGCCAGTGCGCTTGGCATTGAGTCTTCTCATCCACAAGCCTTTTGTTGACAACTTTTGGCCACTGCAAGCTTTCGATATCACTACCACACATTTGGAGAGGAGCACAAACTCTAACAGTTATGGAGTTATAGACAGATTGTGCAGCAGTTTGCCAGGTCTGGTGATCTACGAGAACGAGGCATGCAGTAGTTTGTGCCTGAGAACCCCGCCTGTAGCAATGATGAGCCATGCATGAGTTGGATAAGTTTGTTGTCATTGTTGATGTCGGCAACATGGATGAGCTGTTCTGATCCTGACAGTTCATGATTAGACAGCGTTTCACAACCATGCACTCCTCCAGATTCTGATATTATAAAATCGATTTCCTTGCTTCAAATTAATTTCTGTAGTGTTTCCTAGAGACCAAAATTTGCAAGTCTCAAGATGAGGTTGTTCAGAAGCTGACTTCAAGGAACAAATCAGTTCATCCTTGATTGCCTATCGAGCTGACTTGCAAGCTCTAAGGCCCCATTATGGAGATCCCCATCTTTGAATCTTCCGTTTGGGCTCCAGTGCAACCAGCAGCCAGCATCAGCATGCATTGCTAATCTTTGAGTGTTGAGGAGAAACTAATTTGCCAACCGAAATGCAGCAGAGCCATGTCTTTTTCCACCCCACCTATGTTATACTTATATATGCGGATACATTCTTTGGATTTGTCGTATCAGAGGCGATGTGGGATCTTGGCATGCTTCGCTTCTATTACACTTGGTCTCCCAAGCAGATTCAAGTCTCCCTGTGCAACACAATGAGGTCTGTTGTGATGTTGTGGGCATCAACTGCAGTTGCTTTGTGGTGGAAGGCCTGTTTGGACTGTGTGACTGGTGGCCAGGCAGATGTTGGTCGTTATATCTTCATTGATATATTCCTGGAAGCATTGCACAAAGGACAAAGTAGCCCAGGTGATGGAGTGATAGGTACCTGGATAACACACTTTGCCAAGGTACTCCTACCAAAAGATCCTGCGCCTTGAAACCAAATCCTTCGACCATTTGTGGGTGATTGGACAAGTTATGAGGCACTAATGCGTGTTCAATTCCTCAAACGTTTGTCACAAATTACACAGCCAGGGTGCTTCCTTGCTAAGTCAAAGGGGTCACGGCTGTGGAGGTCACCACTTCGCCTCACAGAGCTCATCCGAGCGGAAGCTCTGGTTGAGAGCCCTCAGCAACTTGAAGGTGCCGAAGAATGTACCAAGCACGTGTGCCAAGCTGTTCATCGTTTCAGTATTTTTGTAACATCAATCAGGGAACCGAGTCTTTTGCTTGGCTCTGTGACAAAAACAGACAATCCACCATGAAGGTGCCACGTGTCACCTACAATCTTTGAAAACCTCTTGCACATTGTCAGGTCCCACTTCTTCCCTACCTACCGCACTAAGAACACATTTTGTATGCAATATGGCAATATATGTACAATATACATCAATATACCTAATATATATATAATATTTGGACATGTTTGTGCACCCTCAGAATCGTCAAAACGGCAACGAGAAGGTACTCCAAGCAGGATGGATTCCAAGCAAAGATGTCTCGCAGCTGTCTCGCAGACACCGCATTTTCGTGTGCCAGCTGCCCTTATACCTTACATTGGACCCCTCCTTGTGGCCCTGCCCAAATTGCAATCGCCTACCCTGAAGAATGCGGGAGTCGGATGAAAAACATGAAGTCCCGATTCCGAATCCGTCCTTGACCTTCTAATAGTAACTAGTATTGTTCCTAGTTTGCATCAATCAACAGTTGACCCAGTTTGCAGGAGGATGTCTTTTGCACGACAAATGGCACTCTGGGGGTAAATTTGTGATCATGGTCCTTTGGTATTTGCACAGAATTCAACATCAAATATCTGAAGCATGCCATCTTGCAAGGTTCTTTTTTGATTTCTTTGTGATGTTTTTTTTGTTTCGCCACAGCGAGGAGCAAGAAGAATCGGGCGGCAACTCTTTTTCCACCACCTGCCCGGTGAGGGTTCTTAGATTTTGTCAGAGCTGTCCTGGCCCTCCTCCTCCGCCTCCTCCTCAACTGCGAGTGCTAAATCACAGTGGGCACCGCAGGACCCGAACCAGATACAATGTCAGAATGCCAGATAGAAAGCCAACATTTTTGCCAAATAGAATGCCAGAATATACCAGATAGAACGCCTGAATATATTCCAGATAGTGCCCATGTGAACATGCACATCATTACCCCACCCCACCCCCAAGCTGTAAAATGCACACGACTACACGTACGGTTTCCCATTTGTTTGCACATATATATAATATATATACATGTGTATGATGTTTTGCTATTATTATATGTTTGATTACCATGGATCCGAGCAGGTAAAGCTGCAGAACAAAGCCCCGGAGCCAACGCAAAATGAGCTCCCCGGCCGCCAATCAATCTGGGTTTCGACAAATGGGCAGGTGGCCTTGACCAAATTTAGGGGAACTGCGCAGGCTTCAGTTTGCTGATGAGAGATATTCTTAATGAAAAGAGACTGTCCAGGAGTGTTTGCATGACTGCGGGACTATGAGTTTTGATCGGACCAAAGGTGTGAATCACCACTAACAGATGGGGAAGACTTTCCTACAGAACACAAATCCTGAGAGCATCCTACATTGGGAAAGGTGTAAAGTTTGAATCTCGTGTTTGCTTTGCATGTCTTGTGCACCTCAATATGTAAGATTTTTCGATGGAACCATCCTCCACCATTAGTGCATCCCATTCCCCCTTCTACACATTTGGAGCCGCTTGGTGTCTGTGGCGACTGAGGCTTTTGCACTTTCGCTCCGCCATCCGGGAGAATATCCAAACGCTCCAGGCAACCCAAGAGTCCAGGCAGGAGTCCAGTAGAGTTCACATGGCAAGGTGGGCGTTTTAGGAGGATGAGGTGGCAACGTATCCTTTCCGCAGCCAGTCCAGTCATGCAGCTATATACTCGAGTTGAGTTAGTGGCCACTCGAGTCCAAGGGCGGTTATATAGTTGTAACCAAACCAAGTGAAGATTGACTTCAACTTCAGCTCTGCAGGGCTTCTCTTTTGGCATTCCGGACTGGCACAGGATTGCGAGGAATCCCTTGCTTAGGCTCCTGGACAAGTTTGGATCTCAGAAGTGAGACGCACAGTCCAGACAATTGAGCAAGTTCATTTTTCAATTGAAAGGATGCATGCAAAATGAAACTTGTCAACTTTCCGCGAAAGCAAATGTGTGAAGCTTCTTGTTCGGCGAAAGCTCGCGAAAGCGCCCTGCGCAGCCTTCCAATTTTTGAGCCGTGAAAGCAAACCGCAAAAACAACTCGGCACATGTATACAGTGAAGATAAGCAATAGTCAATTATAGGCTTGGGCACGGATGTACCCATCTCACACGTGCACACAATCTCACAGCACTTCATTCGACTTCATTCCAGTGTAGCTACTATAGTTATGAATTGACATTTTGGTCGAGCAGCTTTCTCCTCAATTTTGGTTTTAGATGGAAGCAGGAAGTGTCAGATTCGTGTGAAATAGTGTGGAAACGTGACATGTTCATGTGTGAAGGACGATTTTGCTGCGGAGGCGTGAAGTCGGCACTTTGTGTCGCTGTGCTATTTGGAATGGCATTCGCAGGGTGGTCATACGATGGCTGTTGCAGGAACCGTAAACAAGACAGCCCCGCTGATCCCCGCGAAAGCTCTGCGAAAGCACCTACAGTTATGTCGGGCGCGCCAGCCATAGATAGAAGGAGCCAAAATACTCTTATAAAGCAAAAAATATATAGAAAAAACAAAAGGTAAAGCAAACAAAAAAGCAAACAATGTAGCTGTGCGTGTTTGTCCTTTTTTCTCACTTTTGTTCCGCTTTATTTTCGCACTTGCTTCGCTTTATTTTTGCGGTTTCTTCTTCAAGCAAAAAAATGCAAAAACAAAGCAAACTGCGCTTCTTTTGCATGTTCACTTGCTTTTGTGTTGCTTTGTTTTTCACTTTTTTCGCAAAAAACTATTTGATGGTTGGTCATGTATGGCTGCCATTGCCCAACATAAACCTACAGCCTCCATTCCCTTCCGACGCCACCTGGCCCAGAAGAGTTTCCAGCCACAAAACCTCCCAGCTACGTGGAGAAGAAGCCTTGCTGTCCCAAGCTGCTGCTCGCCTACACAAACATGTTTGAAGAAAAGAATCTGTCTGATGCACGGCGAAAGAGTTCGCATAGGCACCTTTGATAAACATGTGCATCTCGTAGGCACCCTTTGCAGCTACGAAAGTTTGCGAAAGTTTTGGCGAAGGCTCTGTTTTGGCGTATAGGCCCCAAGCAACGAAAACACGATGATCAATTGTACAATCGCTCGCGCCAGACTCAAGGCCACGGGCTTGTGAAAAGAAGCGGTGCACAGCCACAGAACTGAAAGGGTCTTTGTGGAGTTCAGAGCAGACATGCTCAGATTTTTCAGGCCACCGAGAACGGTGCCAGCCCGTGGGGTACCCAAAGTCCTGAGCACCATTATGAAGATGTGACAGGACAATTATGGTGAAATTTGGAAGTGCACGTTGTTGATCTTTGTTAAAGGGACCTTTGCTTTCGTGTCCACTTTAGTGTCCTTCGCTTTCAGGGGG